CCCCTTTCCTGCCTTGCAGGTCTCTGCGGGCTGGGGCGGCGGCCTCGGGCCCGTCGCTGCCGCAGCCTTTCCCGCCGCTGCTCTGTTCCCTCTCGGAGGAGAGGGGTCTGGAAGCTGTGGCGGCTGGGTTCGGTCTCCTCCCCGTCCTTCGGGTGCTGAGCGTGGGGCTGGTTGTTCCCTTGCGGGGGGGAACGGCTGCAGTGCGAGGGCTTGCTGCTGGCTGGCCGGCTCAGGACCCGTCATCTTGCTAGAGACCGTGTAGAAACTTTTTTTTTCCTCAAATCCATCAGCACAGATCTAGCAGGGTGAATTTCACCTGCCTTTACTCTGACCACTGTAAGGTCTTGCTGGAGTTCTTTGGAGTCAGCACTTTTTCTTTCTGTTCCACATGTCCCAATGTTACTGGCAAACTTTGTCACGTCACTGTTAGCTTCATTTCTCTGATATTGTTTCCCATCTCAATTCCTAAAGTTGAGTATATCCATAAAAATAAGTATTTGTAGCTTTACTGGTGGCTCGGACTTGAGTGTATGCTTTGCTTTTCGTTTCTTGGCTTTAGTTCTTTTAAGCTTGTTTCTCCCCAATATCACTGTGCGCTGCTGAGTATTCAACTCAGTATAGCTAAAAGATCCACAGTCTGTCATGAGACTTGTATAGATGTGGATACATTCTGCTGTCTGAGTCCTGTAACTGCTCTGTCACCTCAGCATTCACAGAATTGAAACGTTGAAGCTTTCTTCCCCATGTAAGTGGTGTGGTTTGCCACACGCAGTGGGGACATGATCAGTGGCATGGCTGGAGAGGGGGGAGTATGTCTGTTTCATGTTGCTGCACTCTGTTCAGAATTATTGGTGTCCTTTCTCTTCGTAAACCGTAATTCTTTTCTTGCATTTTGAGGGCCAGTTGAAGGAAGGTAGCTTAAATGCCAGGAGACACTATATCGCAGTGTGGAATGGGATATGACTACACAGAAACTGGTTTTTAAGAGCTCACTTGAGATAAACTAATTTTCAACTGTAAATTTAATTCTCCATGTTTTATTGCTACTCTAAAATTGTTTCGTTTCTGATGTGTCTCTAAATCGTTGGTAACAGCGTTTCCACGACACTTTCCCATGTGAACGGCCCTCTGAGAGATCTATCCTTGCTATCTTTTCATCTCGCAGAGGCTGAGAGAATGTTGCCTTAATTTTCTGTTTACATCAAGATTAAAAGTAGTTAGACTAAGTATTTATTGTTCCGGTAAGGCT